AGCTAGAGCTTTCTCCTCACATTTTATCAATGACTGTCTCTTTGCCACTGTATCTTTTTCCCCTCCCCGATTATTTCATTTTGGAAATACTCTTGCCTAGTCACCACAAGCAACATCTGTGACGTCTGATTCAAAGGCCAATAGCTTTAATCTGTCAGTCTTCTTGAGCAATGTTCCCACCACAGGCAACATCCAAAATATGGCAATTTTGTCAGTGAACTTTGCAAATTGCTTAGATGTCCTTGAGTAGGGCAACGACACTCTGAACTACATTATGAATTCCTGAAAATATTCTTTATGATGTTGAAAAAAACCTGTGGAATTGTGAAATCTGTGGAAACTATGATGCTTTAGCCAGAGAATAATAAAGATATATTAGTAAATAGGAAGTGATTTAAAAGATTCATTGTCTTTGGCAAGACTACCACTATTGATTCAGCTGCTGTTTTCAATGGCAAAGACTTGGATTTTCAAGCTCAAGCATTAAATCAAAGAGAACAAAGGTCTTTTAAAAATAGCAAAGACAGAACTTAATGTGAACATATCTTGATCATTCCTCATACTAGTTAATTCAGATTTATTTTGCCAACAATCACAATCATGATTATCGGAAGACTTTATTTAATAAGCAGTAAGAAACCACAACAGCAAATTACAATTTCATTCAACACTGCTCAGAGAATTGAAAAATTCTGAAATAGCTGCCTTTTTTTCTGTGCAGCTGTTTCTCAAGACAAGTTATGCTTAGACAGGTAACAGAGCTCAAAGCATAAACAGATCGCTACAGCTGTCAGGGTGCTAATTGTACATGTTGTCTAAGGACTTCAATTAAGATATTTACCCTGGATTCTTAAAAAAAAAAATCTGTGATACTTAACATTAAAGCAGCCATCTCCAGTCAACAAAACTGGCTGTGATTGCTTAATGACAACATATTTGGCATAAGCGACATCCACACAGCAGACTTCTGGAACACAGCCTGCACACCAGATCACCCAACACGCATCCTCCCACGTCAGGGCACAGATCAGAGGATAACTGTCACACCACGGTGTTGAACATTTCCTAAACTCCCCCACAGCCTTGTCGCTCTTCTCCCCAGCTCCAGGAGCCCACACTTGGTGGTGCAGCTTGTGAGCAGGTCATGGATCCATCATGCAGGTGCATCTACTACAAGGGCTCCCACCAGAGCCTCAGACAGGCAAGTGGCACCAGGCCACTTGTTGGCAAGGTCTGAGTTTGTCCATCTCCAAGATTAGGGCAGAGAGAGAGTATGTGAGAGTCCAGTTTAGTTTGTTTCTGATTTCACTTCCACTTGTTGATGATGGTGCCCCAGTCTAAGGAGGCCGAGTCCTCCAAGGTGGAGGCAAAGGCCAAGGCACTGACAGCCAAGAAAGGTCTTGAAAACATCCACAGTTTCAAGGTCTGCACATTTCCCACTCGTGGGAGGCCCAAAACAACACAGTGGCTGTGAAGGCAGCTCAGGAATCCCTGCAAGAGCACCCCACAGCAGAGTAAGATGAACTCTGTATCATTATGAGGTTCCCTTTGACTGCAGAATCAGCCACAAAGAGAATATAATACCCTGATTTTCATCACCAATGTTAAGACCAAGGCAAACAGTACCAACAGCCTTTCAGGAAACTGCACAATATTGACATAGTCAAGGTCACACATTGGTTAAGACCAAGGTCTGGTTTAAAGACTTGCAGCTGTCTGGCCTAGTGTCCTAGTTGAGACCCTAGATCCGCAAAGGGGCAAATGTCTAATTTGCCATATGTGCTTAATAAATTTTACAGTATTCAGACTGAGCATTTAGGGTCTCCCTTAACACTGGAGGAGAATCAGAGGATATAGTTCAGGAGGAGTCCCACCAAAGTTACCATATCAAGATCAAAACTGCCTTAAGAGGGTCCTGAGGGCACTAATGGGCCTTAGTGGCCCTGACCAGGCTCAGCTGGAGTGTCAACCCCAACAACCATGGGTCTATTTAAGTCAGGCTGCTGGGCTGTGTCAGAACCTGGTTACCCTTATTGGGCCCGACCCTGACCTTGTGTTGCTGATTTGCATTTCTGGCTTGACCTCAGACCTGTCTCATCACTACAGACTTGCTCAATGACCCAAACTCTTGGCTGATGCTGCTCCCGGCCTCCCCTGCTCCCTGACTGGAGGCTGGAGGCCAGCTGGGCTCTGCCCTTCCAACCCCCACCCTGGGGATATTACTTGTGAGGAATCATTTTAACACAGAATAGTCAAACATAAGAATGATTTAGTGATCTGCTCAAAACACTTTTTCATGGCATGGTGTTCTTTCAAGTACAGTAAACACTGCAAATTCCAGATTATTGGATACAGCTGCTCAAGGGCTAGGTTATGAAAGAAAAAATCAGGAGTTATGACCGTAATGTTAGAGCTGATTCCGATGCGGAAATTTAAAAGCCATTTCCCACGCTGTGGCACTCCCACTCCTCTCCAGAGCCTGCTAACCTTCTGTCTACTAACCTTTTAAGGCTATGAAGATATCATTGAAGTCCTAGAGGAGTGCAGAAGCAGAATTCTCTGTCTTTTGAAGATTGTCTACAGGAAGGAGCTTTTCTGAGGCCTCTCACATAGTTATACACCAGTCATTGATTAGCTCTCATAATCCAGACCCAGAGTCTTCCTTGTGTACTACAAAACAATGAAACACGAATTATTACTCTAGGTGGAATATTATTAAGAACAGGGAGTTACAGTATGTTAGTAAACATATTATGCTCTTATTTATATTAATTGTCGTTATTAAAAGGCCATCACGTCTTTCAGTTTGGGTAACCTGCAGCTATAAAGCCACCAGCTGAAAGTTAGATAGAAACATGTGTCATTGCAAGACACTGATTGGTCATAATCAGAATGACTGACTTTTCTCTGAGGGAAACTTGAAAAGCTTCTGGATCCTGCTCTCTTATCAAAATTTCATTTCCCTCTTAACACTGTCATACTAAAATATATGGTTCACAAACCTCATGCTATTTATGACAGAAGGAAAGCGTTCTATAATTTGACCTGTATTCTTTCCAGACTTCAGCAGAGGGGTAATCCCCCTTTCATAATCTTGCAAAAAAGACTGTCCCACATGACAAAAAATAGTTCATTATGTATTTGAGGGAGTTTGACTTGCCCTTTCTGGCAGTGGCTCTGTAGCAGGTGTTAAGGAATGGGTGGGCATTCACACAACACTCCGGGAACAGAATTTGTTCACTATGCTGAACTTAATTTTGAATAAAGGAATATGACTAGTAGGTATGATTCTCAGTGCTTTAGCTCTCACAATTCCCAGAGTTATTACTCCCCTGTTAGTACTTACAAGAATGAATGAAAAAAAAAAAATATGTGACTAAGAAACAAAAAGTGCATTTCCTGTTTTGTTCCTTTTAAATATATTTCTAGTGCAAAACACAAGAAGTATGAATTTCATTCCTGCAGCAACAGCTCTCACAAAGGCTTCTATTTCAGTTAGTCCTTACATTTGTAAAAATGTACCTGCAGTAGCTGCTGGGCGTTTCAGTCCTTGATCAGCTACCTGGTTGAGCCAATTCTGCTGGTTATTCAGCTGAATCCAGAGTAAACTGCATGGTATGAGGCAGGCAGCATACCTCAGTTCTAATGCAAAGCAGAGCAATCCACACTGCATTTTAGTTACTATTATAAAACTAGGTTATCACAGAAACTATACATGATGAATACTCTCAGGAACCACGCAGAAAAGTCTTCAGTTACCTAATAATAAAAACTATGTTTTGACTCTGCATAATAGCATAGCTCACTAACATCTTAAAGACTTCTAATCTTTTAACTTTTACCTCCTTAGTATTAAACTTTCAGCAAGCTTTCAGCATTAGTTTTCTATACAAGGCAATAAAAGAATTCCATGAACTGGACATAAGGAACGTGAATTATGCTGTAATAACTTGAGCACATGAGCCTTCCACCAGGAATTCATGGGGAAAAAAAAGCCAGAGCAAATTATGCAAATGGTTCTGTTTAAGATTAAACAAGTCAGATCCAATTGCCTTCCAGTGCAAAATACAGAAACTTTTCAAAATTACTATTGTATGTGAGAAATTAATTTCAGGCAGAAAAGGAAGTAATGTTTACATTTATGTCCTGACATAAAGGTAGAAACAGAATGAATCTCATCTACAGATGTAATCAGCTCAGTTTAATTTTTAATCCGTCATTAAAAATACCATTTAACTCATCCCTTTTAAACAGGTTAATAAAAAAATCAAGCTTAGTGGGAAGTTCAGCATGCTTCATTGTACTCCAAAATACGATGTTTTTCGTGTTTTATACAACAGCTTTATTATCAAATGGCAAGAGACATTTAGTAAGGATGTCATGCAGATATCGCAAAAAATTCCAAAAGACAAGTCACCTAACAGTTCAGAATTCCTTGCAATTAAAATCAAAGCTACATCTTCCCAATTTCCTGGTTTGTTTCATGGAAGCCACTGTTTTCCTGTCAAAACGTTATGGCTATGTCTTGGATCACTTGCTGGATTCCCTAAAGGAAAGAGTAGGCTAGTACAGTGTTCCACAGTACAGTGGTTTTTTGCCTTTTTCACAACCCTCAGAAATAGTCCATGGGGTAGGAAACTGCCTGAGACCACTGGCAGCTGAAGATAAAACACAGAAGAGACAGGTTAAAAAAAAGTTAAGGTTTTACAAAAGGGAAGAACCTTATTTTCAATCTTTTCAAGGTCTTAAGGCTTTTAGCCACTCAGATGGGAACCCCGTGGATGGCTGAAACACAACAGGTTTTTCAGTAACACAACCTGATCCCATTTACACATTGAAATATAACTCAGTGAAAATGTCAAGTGATAGCATGATTCACATTAAATTGAAACATAGTTCAGTTCCTTCTTTAGTGTCAAGTTTCCACCAAAACATTGGTTTTATATGGCATAAAAGGGATTTTACAACAGCATCTGTTATTGACCAGAAATTGAGACAAATTTTGAGAAAATGACAATAAGTAGTAGGTAATTTATTCTGAGAATTCATCTGCATGAAAAATCAACTATGCAGAAAGAGTAGGCTGTAAATCTACAGCAACTTCACACTCAACAATCCAGGGGATGCTTGCTCACAACAGCTAAATTCACACAAGTTTACTACGGAATAAAGCCCCTGGGTAGATGACCTCTGAAATTAGAACTGCAGCAATAAAAATAATCACTCTTCAGTCTTAAATGCCAATAAAGCACACTTTTAGAGTAAATTCTAAGCAACAAAACAATTGCTGAAGCTAAATGATCATACAATAAACTTGCAAACAGAAGTGATATGAATTCCTTTACCAATGTAAAAAAAAATACCACTTACTGTGCAGACTGGATTTAAATAAAAGACAAATAGTGTATCAACAATATTTACTATCTATTTACATGTAATACTGTGATGAAATGAAGGAGTCACTTAACATTATGTTAGAAAAAAAACCAAAACCCTTTAAAGGTACCAGTACCTTTCACATTATCAAATTTATGGAACTGTTCTGTTACATCTCAATGATCTATCATACGATGAGTTAAGATGAGGATACAGACAAATAAACCCTTCAGTTGGAGCACATGCTAATGTGTCAACTCCCATATCAGCAAGATACTTCAGGGGCACCAACTTAAAGCATTTGTAAGCAGCACTGCTTTCAGTAGGATAAAACTTAAATGGGCACCCCAGTTCCTTGATGACCAGGGCCTCATTTTATGGGATTTCACTGACAATACAACAAACTACAACAGTTACAAAGCATACAAGAGGAGGTATCATATACCTTGTTGAGTGAATGTATGTGCTTATACCTAAAGGCAAATCATAGCTGAGCTGATTGCCTACTGCCAGCTACTGACTTAAGACAACAGAATCATCTTTTCAATTTTATATACACCGACACAAGACCCTTCTGTTGCATAATGCTTTGAAGATTATTTGGAATCAGCTCTCCAATAAGAACTGCACCAATCTGTGTACCTGACATTTCTTCTAGCTAATTGAGCTGCAATGGAAAATTTCATACTCTTTACATATTGCTTGAGAAATGCTAAGATTACACTGCTTAAACGTTTTCAAATCACTTGAGAACTGAAAGTTTTATATAGTCACATGACCATTTTCTTAAATTGGCAGGATAAATCTATACAAGTGAAATACTGGCAAAATTATCAACATTTAAAAAAATCAAAATTAGAACTTCAGAATCATCAGCCAGCCATGATAAAAAGTCTAACCTGCTCTCTCCCTTCCTATATCCTCTCCCAGAATAAAACTACTGAGGACAAGAGGGAATGATGTGACACTCTGCCTTTGTTAATCCAGTTAGTAAAGCAGATGTAGGTTCAAGTATTTAAATCCACACAGCACTAATAAATAGAAGTAAACAATCAGGATGAGAATATCATTGTAGTTAAAGTACTGCAAAACCCTTTTCTTTCTAAGTGAGCACCGTTATTATATTATGCTATTATTTTGGAACTCCCAAAGGCAAAAAAAGAGAAATATTGTTGAGGAGAAATGTATTCAAGACCAGATCACATGCAAGCCTATAGATAATGTTACAAAATGGAACTGAATAATTAAGGGGTTTTTCTGCAAGTTTTAGAAAGCGTTAGCTGTAGTTTGTCTACATGACGATTCTTGCTCTGCACGTAATCAGAGCAAAATGTTACATCTGTGTTTTCACTTCCCTCATCCTGAAGACCACACACACACCCTCTCAAAGTAAAACACTGGTGTTTTGGTTACAAAACTATATGCAGTACATTTCTGAACACAGTTCCTTCAATTTTAGGCCATGTGCTCATTTAAAGACATTATTATCAATTACAGGCCTCCCCTTTAACTGCTTAAGATCCAATAGAAAAGCAAATATACAAATATCAGAAGTGCTGATCCTGAGATGAAGTATGGGAAATTCTGGTCCAGTCTGATTCTTATTCAAACTTCTGTTTCAGTTTCTTCTGGAAGACAGCTGGTAGGATGGAGAGGATGGCTAGAATCATGAGAACAAAAACAGAGTTCCAGGAAACAGCTTCCCCTGCTGTTGTAAGTTGGTACAGCGTCGTTCCTGCCTTAATGGCTACAAAAGATGGTGGTGCCACACCTGGAGCAGGTAATTAGAAGGTAGAAGAGCAAAGGAAGAAAAAACAGCTTGTTAGGGTGAAAAATGGAAAGAAAAACAAATAATAAAATTGTCATCCAACTTTTAACACCAAAAATTTCAGACTTTGTTGCCTTATACTCTTTTCTTATTAAAAGAGCGGTGTAAATACAAAATTCAAATACAAAAAACCCTTATCAAAAGGATTGGGTTTTATGCCATTTTTAATATTTTTAACACCAACTCAAACACAGAAGACTAAGAAAATAATCTCTGCTCTTTAGACTCTGCAGATTTCAAGTTGTCTCTCTACAAATAGGTTTTATTCAAATTCATAATGGAAAAATACAGACTGTTTCCTAACCAGATTAAAAAAATATTTGCAGAAATATGCCAATTAAAAAACTAAAGCATTTAGCACTAGATTAATTAAATTATTAATTCGTTATTAGGAAGATATATTATGATGAACAAAATGGAGTGGGAAGAGAAGAAGCAATCCTTCAGATAAAGTCACCTATATCCTCACACAATTATGTTGAGCTCAAAATAGAAGCTTACAGAATTTCACAGAAATATTATAGTCATGGAGTGGAACAAAAAGTTACTAATGAAGTGTTCAGACAATGTATGTTTCCTTAAGCAAGTAATTAGCCTGGAGCCCATCACCTCTGATCCAGTCCATCAGAGCAGTCCTGACTACTAAAAATCTTTCGATGGTGTCAACTCCACACACCAAAAAGTACAAACCCGATATTCTTGTGTAGCCTTTCGGCTGCCCAGTAGGTGGTGATCTCCGCTGAACATCGCACACACAGAAGAACGTAAATACCCCTTCTTCTGGCCACCCCCAAACTGCAGTTCACTATGCAGAACACTTACCTAAAAAAGTGCCAATGAAAAATACTTTCAATGGTACATTAATGACAGGGGATGTTATATTGATAAACCAATTGGGAAGGAAAGGTGTTATTCTCAAAAATATTATGTAGTTAATGAGGTGTTCTCTGTGTCGTTCAACCTGCCAAAACAAAATGAAAAAATATCAGTAAAAAAACCCTGACATGAAAATACACAGTGATTTTACTCCTAGAGATTTGTTAGGGGAGTGTGTGTGTGGGGGGGTGGTTGTGTGTATATTTTGTAGAAATTCACAAGTTGCAAACAAAAATCAGTTAAACAATGACTGACTCAAGGAAGAGTCATCAATGAATCACCTGTTAAACCACACTGAAGTTAGTCTGGAAATACCAGTCTGTAGTAGAGCATGGTGATGATGTGTCTGAATCAGACAACTTAAACAGATTAAACAGTAATTTGGAACAGCAGCAGGCCTAACCCTAATTTTAGAGCAGCAACCTCTGTCTGTCTCACTGCCAGCTTGTCATCCTGACCCTAAAGCTTTTGCAGGAACTAGCAATGAAGTTTGTTCTGTCCTAACTCATGATCAAACCTGACACACAGCTGTATTTCTTACTTGGAAACTTACCCAGGTCATTGCTCTGAAGTTCATCAGGTGGCTGCTGCCAGCACAGTTGCAAAACCTATCTACCCACGTGCTAGAATACTCAGCATTAACATTTACCCAGGGGCAATCACAATAGCCCCAACTTTATTTACAGTCTTAATTATTTTCTCCAGTCTAGCCCAGCTCCTTACACTAGTACTACATCAAAGTCTCTTCTCCTTCCAGCCTGGCTTTAGCACATCAGCCCTTTCAAACAAGAACTGTAACCTCAAGCCAAGTTATAAGGATAATAAAGCATCCACCACTTCTGGCCTATCCTGGCAGACCTTCACTAAGCCTAAGCCTAAACATGGTCATCTGACCCCAGATGAAACCAAACACCATCTGATTACAATTTCATCTGAAATCACACACAGCAAGCCACCCCAGTCACAACCCTGTTTTTTCCCCTCCCAACTTTAGCTTTAACTGCAACACTAAAGTCAGTAGCTCTGATATTGTTCAGTTATACCATTGTGGGAGTTTTTTTAATCTTAGGGAAAGACAAATATTTAAACGTTAATACTGTATATAAAATGTCTTAGTCCTCAAAATGCAAGCATGATATAGTCCAATTAACCTGGAAATAGTGAGATACAATTACATCATTTATATCACATATCCAGTTCTACTAATGGAAATAGTAACCATTGCCACTCAGAATAGCCTCAAGATTCTACCGAGATACTGTTTACTTGGGTCAAGAGTCAAAATACTAGTATATTATTTAATAAGGGCAGTTGTGCAGGACATCTTCACATCTTACCTAATGAGGAACAAGTTTCAAATATTCGTATGTGATTCAGTCTTAACAGAGTACAATAGTTAGCTGTACTTCACACTTGCAAAAAAAAAAAAATATACCCGTTTGAACATGTTTCAGAGCATCAGAGACATGAAGTCAAATACTAATCACACTATGATTTTGTATTGCAAAATCTTTAACTTCATCTGATGATTAACACTTGCTGAAACTAATGTTACCAGATACTGTAAGAGAAAGCTTCTAAATTCTTCAACCACAATAACATCTTCAAATAAAGGTTTTGCAATCATACATATAGCTAAGGGTTTTCTTCCCCTATAAAAAACACAAACCCAGCTTTCATTTGTTCTGATGCTTAGAAAGCTATTACTTTAAATTGAAACTGGAGAGGTTTCCTACTGACATTAGCTAAACCAGGGGGGGTTATCAGTTGCAAACTCTTCCTAGGTAAAAACATCTTCCTCACAGGAAATACCATAAAACCAGGAATATTTTCCACTGTTTCACACAGAGAAAGTAACTACATAGTGTCAGAAAAGAGTAAGAATCCTTTCTGTGTAACTAGATACATGAGCACAAAACCCCCTAGTTTTCCATGCTGTTCCACTACACATTTTCATAAACTTCAGCATCTCTGAATTGAGAGCTGCCCTGCAGAAGGTACTAGTGGATGGAAAACTGACCATGAGCCAGTAACATGTACTTGCAGCCCAGAAAGCCAACCATATCCTGGGCTGCATCAAGAGAAGTGTGGCCAGAAGGTTGAGGGAGGTAAAAACAGCATTCTCTCCCTTCTACTCCACACTCATGAGACCCCACCTCCAGTGCTGTGTCCAGCTCTGGGATCCCCAATATAAGGACACAGACCTGCTCAAGGTGATCACCACAAAGGTGATCAGGGGCTGGAGCCCCTCCCCTGTGAGGACAGGCTGAGAGAGCTGGGGGGGTTCAGCTGGAGAAGAGAAGGCTCTGGAAAGACCTTCTAGTGGTCTTTCAGTACTTAAGGGGGGCTACAGGAAAGATGGGGAGGGACCCTTTATCAGGGAGTATAGGGACAGGACAAGGGATAATGGTTTTAAACTGATAGTGAGTAGATTTAGATGAGATCTAAGGAAGAAATTCTTCCCTGTGAGGGTGGTGAGGCCCTGGCACAGGTTGCCCAGAGAAGCTGTGGCTGCCCCTTCCCTGGAAGGGTTCAAGGCCAGGTTGGACGGGACTTTGGGCAACCTGGGCTAGTGGAAGGTGTCCCTGCCCATGGCAGGGGGGTGGAACTAGATGATCTTTTAAGGTCCCTTCCAACCCAAACCAGCCTATGATATCTAGAGGCTTTACCTGTTCTGACCATTTTACTGCTTTTTCTGTTAAGTATCTGTATACAACAGGACGTCCCACTAGATACGAAAGCATATAGCAGAATGAAGCTCCAAGTCCTGAGCACTGAAAAAAAACAAACAAAAAACCAAATGAGCAGAAACACTAACTACACTGGCTAGACAGACCCTGCTTCTATGCGACCCTCCACTGAGGCTGAAGGGCTCTCCTTCAGCAGTATATACACACCCACTAAGAATGTTGTTGACCCAAGAGAGTTCCTTTATTTCCAAGACATTTAGATCAATCTTAACATTCAAAATGGACAATGTTGATTACTTATCAGTTTAATATAGAGTGCTTCTGCAGTTTTATTTTAAGATTTTGAACAGTGAAAGATTTACAGATAAGGGGCACAATGGCACTGAAAAGATTCAAACTTGAAAATTCATCAACTTGATTCTCCATACGTACTCAATTATCTCGTTCTTACATACTAAGGCTCATTAGGACTATGTTTTGTACATGACATGTTCTGAAGCTTGTCAGTAACATACATTTCATATCTTAATTTAAGCACCCTGGTTATTTAAGCCATTTAAAAACGGATGTGTTTTGCAGTGCAATAATAAAAATGCAGTAATTGTGTTCTGAAATTACAATCAAGTTCTGGTGGATGCTAGACAAATATAAAGGAGACTCTGGCTGAATCACACTCAGATGCCTCCATTATTAAGAAAATTGGAGAAACAGTTCAGACTTTTGGATCATCACCCAACGCTACAGCGAACTTTGTGGGTAATGCCATTCTCACAACAGAACTGAATGAGAATTCATTCATTCCTCAGAAACTAAAGTATACCCCTATTTCACTCAGCCTCTGATCATTTCAACAGGAAGCTGTTCAAATGCTTTGTTGTATTCCAAATAGACAGAAATATATGCCCTCACAAACTATTTTCCATACTTACCAGACAAACAAGAAATAAGGCCAGCGGAAAGGGATAAAGAAACCCTGACAGGATACTGAGAAATATAGACCCGGGAATAGCAAATGTTTGCAAGCTGAATGCACCTTAGTTAAGAAAAAAAAATTAAAAAGCTACCCAATTCTAAATTTTATAAGCAGTCAAGATACATATTACAATTTGAAAAAGCATAAATATAAATAGGCATAGCCTCTAAAGATTTTTGCTTCAATATACGTTTAGAGTTGCACAAGAAGCCCAAGCACAGAAAACCAAGGGGTAGATTCATTATTACACATATAAAAAGTAACTAAATAATAGAAGCTGTACCACATTTTTCTCTTCACCTGTGCAACAGTTGACTGGGGATTTATTGTGACATTACAAGAAACACATACTTCTGATTTTTACACTGTTGACTAGAGATGCAGATTTCAGATATTCTCTCTAAAAAAGCTCACAGAACTGTCCAAGCCCATAACTACTATGAGTTTCATGAAAGACTAACATTTATGAAGGCAATTACTACTTCTTTACAAATAGGCATGCTACAATCACTTGATAACTAGGATATATGATCACCAATTTCAGTCTGAACTTTTTGAAAAGGCAAAAATTAAGTTTCTGCAGCATACACAAACAGGCTGTTGAGCTTAACGTGTGCAGGGGATACTTCAGACTATGACATACTGCCCACTTTGCACAGAAATCTTACAGAGCAAAAAAGATTTGCACACTTTTATCTGAGTTGAACTTTCTCAAGTATCAAAAAGCCAAGTAATCTTTCTTAATATTAAGTCCATTACAACCAACACAGCTTCTTCTAAGCAAGTGTCAAGGTTCTGAGATAACCAACATGCTTGTCACTGATCACAGTCTGCTACTGAGACAGTAAATGTCACATCAGCTGCTACAGTAATTTCAATAAACAACCAATTTCTGTTCTACTTCCTGTTAATATATGAAGTCTAACATTTTAATTTTCTTCATAAATCTATTGTGAATTTCACTTAAAAAGAACAAGGCTAGAGGATAATTACTAATTGCACATTCAGCACTGATTTTTCTCTGTTACAAAAGCCTCCTGCATTAAAACTATGAAACAGACCTCTTGTACAGCTTTTAAAAGTTATTAACCTTTAGTTAAGTGTTCCAGTTAAGAGTGTGTTTAATGATTAATTAATATATTCAGCACTCAGAAAAAAGTTAACACAGAACACAGGTAGCCTTTGTGTCTCCCTAGGCAGAAAGCACTTCAAAAATTTAGTGCTCTCAAAGGAAAGAAGAGATTTGGTTTTTTAATGTTGGCACTGCAGTGATGAAAGAAGATTCAAAATGCTTTCCCTGAGAAATGGTGTAAAATATTCAGTAAATTACTCACACGTGGCACTTCTGAATGTCTCAAGGAAGAACGGTGCAGTAGTCTCAGTTTTCCTTTAGAATCAACAGTAATTTCTAACTGGCAACAAAACGAGACCAAGTCTAGTATCAAAGCTCAAAATCTTGTCCACAACAGACACAGTCAAGGTCAGGCCACATGCAAATACCCAACACCATTTACAACTGTACATGCATGCACCAATTTCCTTCTACTCAGCCCTTCCTTACAGTCCAAAAAGCATACTGAAACACTTAAGAAATCTTTTTAAGTTCAAAGATTTCTGAATATTTGTGTCTATTTATAAACACGTCTAGGTAGGTTAGACTCTTCACCTATGATCAAGCATTTATAAGTTTGTATTTTTCATTGATTTTTCAGAGAAATATCACTATATCAAAACTGCCTTTTATATCCAAAAAAAAGGATACAAAACATACGTAGCAAAATAAGCCACTAATACTTGAACATAAAATGTGTCCTTATATTTGGACAGGACTTTTCCCAAGGCCTTTGCATCATCCATATCTCTAGGAACTTTTATACATTCTCTTTCTTCCCTGGAAAAAAAAAAAAAGCAGGAATGGTGTTAAATACAATTAAACAGTATAATAAAATTGTTTACTGAACATATAGGTAATTAGATACATCACTAAACTGCAACCTTAGCAAACAAACCACACAAGTATCATTGTGATAATATTCTCAGGTGAACACTTAGAATTTACAGGCAAACTGTTTTGTACTAGAAAATCCTCAGGTTTTGATATTTGCAAACCATACTTTTTTTTATTCATTACAATAACCTGCTTCACTTCTAGGATTACGTTTTTCTTCTTACCAAGTACTGATCAAAAAATAATTACTCAGACCAAACCTTGGCAACTGAACAGTAGTCAACATTTCAGCCAAAAACAACTGTAACTGCCTCAAGGCTAGGGTCATAACATTCCAAGTGCAGCAAGAGCAGCAGAGCTTTACCTCACAAACAAACAAAGCTTTAAGAGCAGAATCTCATGTCACACCTTAACCTGGTGCAACCCTGGGCAGCCCAGTTGAGTGTCCTTTCTTCCTCTGTATCAGATTTAGTGATTGGACTGTTGCAAACTGAACTTGTTGAGCAAGTTAATCAGACAGAAAATTAAATACTAAAAGAAAAAAAGAAAATTGTCAGAGAAGCAGGCTTCCATCTTGTGAAACTATCTACCTTCCCAACACAAATACAAGATGCAACAAAAAGGAGAAAAAGAGAACGTGAAGCTTCATTATGAAAAAGGATGTCCCCTTGGATGACAGCCTGCAGCTATTCCAGCGCACAAGGAATTTTAAAATAAACCTACCCCTAACCAAGCATGTTTTAACTCTCAACTGAAGAAGGTTAAGAACATAGCGAGTTACCACTGCTCATGTGACTGGGGGTAACTTGTCAAAACACAGTATCTCAACTATCCAACAGAAACCCTAGGTCAAGTACAACTGTTCGCATAGGTCCTACCGGTTAGCATTTCAGCATTAAACTTTGTATCCTGACACTCTAGATTATAAAATCAATGTTAAAAAAAAAAAAAATGTTATGTCTATAACTCAGTTTAAAAATTGCTTAACCCCCTGTAGGCTCCTCTACAATTTGATACTGAATGAAAAGCAAATTAATTTCTCTTTCCTGACATACTTACTCACTAAGTTGAGGGAAATTTTTATATACCAGGAACATAAGGAAAGCAGCTGATAAGAAGATGGACACTAAAATAAGAAGTGATGTCCTAGCTGATCCACCTTCTGCCTGAGCTTTCCCTGAAATTAAAACAAAAACAAAGTTAAAAAACCCAAACCAAAACAACAATACCATCAAACTCACATCTTACAACAGATTTCAAACTTATACCTTAAGGAAACGTTTATGTAAGCTCTGGACATAGTCCTCCACCAATACTTTCAATAACATATACAACATATTGTTCACATTCCCTGAAAGCTTTAAAACAAATCTGAAGTTCTTAGGCTGGCAAACATCCCATAGAAGTCAGCTTCTACAATCCTTAATAATTTAAGCCTCTATTAATAAATAAATTTGTAAAGAAGAAAATAGAGCAAAACCGAGTAAGTCATATATGTTTTTTTTTCATTTTTGCCACACATCTTTTGCTAGTCAACTAGAGACTTAACCTGAAGTTAAATGTACGTACAATGCAACTTCAAAATAAGCTCTTTTGTTTTTCCTCCCAAGAAGGAACACCAGGCACAGCCACTAGCAATGAGGCGAGACACACTTGGAAGAAAACATATGGAAACACACACACCAGCCTGGGAAATACGGGTCTCAACTTGGGAATTACACATATTTTACACTTGCCTAAGACAACTTCTCTTGGATATATTTAAGCTTTTATTAGCTGTTAAAATACTTGTGTCCAGGAAGTCATGGGAGTAGAAAAAGTGACACAAATACATTTTAGCCTCTTCCATGCTTTAGATTTTTACCAATACGACTATATATATGTAACACACTGATTAGCACAAACGCAGCTACGTGTGCGAGGGATTTTAAACAGAGAAATGATCAGCAAGAACTCTCCGCATCCATACAAGGGTGTGCGTGTGCCCACATATTAAAGCACTCTCCTGAGACACTGCTACATTAGCACAACTTCGCAGTGAGCACAGCAAGTTGTCTCGGTCACCTGAAGAACACAAAACATGCCAAGGCTGTGTTTTCATTCGCAGATGCCAGTGGCATGACTACAGTGCCAACGGGCAGCATTCAATCGAGTGGCACTGCCACCTCCCAGTTGTGAAACACGGCGAAGGGGTGACGAAACCCACGGACTAAAAGAGAACCAGCTGGATGAGCTGCCAGTTTTATTGCTTTTAACATTTTTCACTTTGAGGTCAGCGTGATCCCCTAGGCGTACGCTGGGGCCGAAAGGGGCAGAAGGAAGCATCCACGTTACAGGCATCAATACCTCAGCGGTGGTTATTTTAAGAACATTTTCTCCAGCAGGAAAAAAAAAATATTAATAGTTTAAAAAAAAAAAAAAAACTTAGAGAAGGAAAAAGGAAAACGCAGCAAACTGCACTTTCTGACACTTTCTGTACCACAGTCGTGGAACAACACACACACACACACACACACAATCCCACGCGTGTTTCCTCATCCGCGCGTGTGCGGGGCGGGCAGCTGCCCCGTTTCGGCCCCGGCCCTGCCGTGGGTAGCGGCTGACAGGGCCCACAACCGGAGCTCGCCTCACCCCCCCCACACCCCCCT